GGTAAGTTTTCTTGGGTTAGAGTCTCAAAAAAATCAGTTCTTCAACAGTTTTCCTCCAGGGACTCAAATTACATGTATGTTATAGTTTTCTCGCATATTCCATTTCAATCACTCTTTTCTGACTCCTTTTACTTCTTTTTTCACTTTTCATTTTCTTGGGGCTTTCTCCAACTTTCTCCAATATCCTTTATTACATTTTTATTCGAATGTATTCTTCTTAGGTATCTTGTAATTTCTTCAGTTCTGAGATGCTTATCCTTGACTTCAATTTCTTTACTGAGTTCAGTCTCTTGCATTTCTATCTGGTTTTTGTTCATTTCTATTCTTAGCTTTTACATATCTGATTTTAGGATTTTTTCATTGCTTGGATTTTTGTATCACAGTCATGTGTTTCATGTTGGCTTTTATGGGGAGAATTTTCATTAGTTATTTTTAATCTCCTTTTTCTTCTTTGTTTTACATTGAGCCAGATATTTTCTACTTGCAGGCATTTTGTAGCTATTTCTAATTCAAAGCACCGTCTTCTTCCTCTCAAAGAGCAAACAGGGTTGTTGCAACATGAGGGAGGGGGTGGTGTGCAGACTGGGCTTCACTGGGGTGGTGTGTCTGTGCTGCGGTAAAGCGGTAAAGGGCCAATTTTTTTCTTTTATTATAATAGCTAATTTTTACATCATTTTGTGCCTTTTTCCATCTCAGTTGTAATTCCTATGGTAAAGGGCCAATTTAATTTTCATTTCAAATTCATTGTGGACTAGTATTTTCATAAAATATAATGAAAATGAGTTACTGTACACTTTTTAAAAAAGATTTACTTATGCATACAGAACTGGGGTACAGGCCAAAGTGCAGTGGCGGTGAGAGGATTCATCAAAGAGAGTGGGGAGCAAAACAGACCGACTGATGAAGTACACTGCTGAGGGGAGCAGCGGGCACGTCAGGAGAGGTCTGCCACACCATGTGGATCACCTCTGGGGCCAGGGATCGAACTCACACTGAAAGGGATGCAGCTCGCTTGCAGTGCCACGTTCTAACCCGTTGCCACCAGGGAAGGCCTACTGTATGCTTTTTAAATGCCAAAAGATAACGTCCAATTGTATATTTAACAGCTAAACGACATTTTAATATAATCGGAAACATAAATGAATGTATTCACTGACATAGGCAAGAGATAATGACCATTAAACCCATATCTTTACTGTCCAACAATTCTAACTAAAAAGTTATGAGTCCAAACAATTCCCCTACATTAAATGTCTATATACATTTTGAACAAAGGTTTAAATGTGACAAAAAGCTTGGTTGCCTGTTAACCTACTTAATTGAGGTTGGGTTGTTGACAATTCTACACGTAAGGGATACTACCTATGTTTTGTCTTCATGTAAAACAAATCTCACAGAGCTATGTTGACAACGAAAGACTGATTTTAAACTAATTTAGCAAGATCAGGATTTTTAAATTTTCCTTCAAAAGAAATGACTTATTTCCAAAATGTCTTAATAATCTTCCTCCAGTCCCAACACTTTGAGATAAAAGTAAATTCTGGATTATATACTTTTGGGTAACTGGCCAGTATCTCCCATTATGACAGTTTCGCTGTACATGACCAGGACTCCACTTGTCCTATGCGTAACTGATGCTCCATGCAAGCTTTACAATACCTAAGTCGATCTGTCCCTTGTTCAGTGAGATGAGTCTATCGATCATGTATTTGGATGTCATGTAATATCAAATTGCTTTAAAAGCTTCTCTGCACTGATCTCAATTTTTGTACTTCTCACGTAACAGACAGATGGCAGCCCCCAGGCTAGCACCAAGTGTGAGGGCCACTTCGCACAAGGCATTTGATCCACCAGCAAGTTATTGCAAGTCTCCTTCGATCTTCAGGAATAGCTGAAGGTAAAGGAAACACCGAAACAGACAAAAAAAACCATAAAAAATGTATCTTCTGAAGTGGTTAGACCACCCCGACATTGTAACACCTTCCGCTTTGTCATGTCTGTGTATATGCCAACTACTACCAATTTTTTCCATTCTCCTTTCCCTCTCCCTACCCATTTTTCTCCTCAGTCATGGAAGTTATGTTGATGGTTAACTTGAATAGTTCATAAGTATGAGGTGTGCTAGAAAGTAAACAAGTGCCCCTAAATGGTGACATGTCAAAGGACACAGGAACCAAGTAATAAAGGGGCTCCCAATAGCCATATCTGGGTCCACTGAGCAACACAATGACAGTAGGGGCTCAGAACAGAGACTAAAACTTAAGTGTCACGAGTTCATGCTGACAGACTTAATGGAAAAAATAAATGGGGAAGACAAAGCTTTCTTTACAGAATTCAAAATTAACATAGAAGAAATGATGAAAATAGTGTTATCAATTAACGTTAATGATTATTTCAGGCAAGAATCATCAATGGATGCTAAAATGGATGGGTTAAAGGATGAAAAATGGGACATAGTCTTAAAGTTCTAATTAAAAGAGAAAAAAAGAGTAATTTTGTAGGGGAGAGAACTGGCAGATATCCCCTTAACCAACGTTAAGGTCGCCAAAAAATGAGAAGCACATGACCACATCCAATGCCTCTTGGGAAAGACACACTCATCCAACTCTACGGTACACTCCCCAAAATGCAGAGCCTGAATTTTACCTCGAGCAATTGTCAAACAAGCCCAAATTGAGAGACTTTCTAGAAAATAACTTCTTCCAAAGTGAACTATCGTTGATTAAAGACAAAGGAGACACGACAGCTAAATGCAGTGTGCTGCTGAGTCGGCTCCTGGCCCAGTAAACGGTTATTAGCAGAACACTGACACACTTAGCTGAAGTCTACTAATGTTTGCAACCAAGACACTGGTTAGTTCACATCCAGGACATTGATGGGTCCAGGCATTACTTCTTAAATTTGGTAGTTATAGCTTTTATTATATAGTCACAAACCTAAAGTTATCCCACTAAGTAACAATTTTCACAAACTTAGGTATTACCATTCCCATTACACAAATTAGAAACTTTTGATTCAGAGAGATTAAGAGATTTGTGCTGATTGTTCAGATAGTCAGTGGTGGGCAAAGCAGTGGACGGAATTCCTCTGTATGATTTTCTGATGTATTTTAATTGCATTGCTTCTTACCAGTGGCTTCCAACTCTATTTTTCCATTAACCATTGCACAGTCTGCCATTCTGTCACGGAAGGCTAGAGAGAAACTTTAAATTCAAGGTTATGAGGCTTGACATCACAGTATGACTGAGGCCTGTTCACTGATCCACAGTTCCTCTGCCCCTTGCAATTGTTTTATCATCCATTCAAAAGCTTATTTGGCTGGCTGCAGTGAAAATGGATTCAGAATATCACTCTTTCAAAAGATTGCAAAAGACAATAAAAACCAAGTCTCTACTATTTCTAGTGAGCTTATTCTGTAAGCAGTATCTACCACATTTAGAATCAAAGGTATTCTATAAACCTAGAACACCCCAACAACTACTCACGAGGGGATCGGGTTCTTTCTTTCAATGTCAGTCAAATAATCTGCCACAAGTCTGGCTTTCCTGCCTCTCACACTATCTTGACACTGTGATTTATGTTCCTGAACAAATTAGACTTAATTTAAGAGCAAATCATCAGCAACAGGTATAATAATCTTGGCAGAACATTTATTTTAATTAATTGCTTTTTGCCTAACATAGATGGAAGGGTGCTGATGCCATTTACCCTATAAGGATTAGTGTTGTCATGTAATTAACTTTTTTTCTTCCCCTAGAACTTAAAGTCTCATCAGTTTTAAATTACAAAGGCATTAGTTTACTTCATATTTAATCATAACAATCCAACTGGTATGGCAATGTTTATAAAAAAACTTGTGAAACAGAAACGGATTTTAACCATTCTGCAGCATCACAGAGGCTTGGTCCACAAACATAGGCCCTACAGGAGTCCATGAGGGCCAGAGTGTTTTGGGGGTAGGCAGCAGAGTAATGCGCACCCCCCCAAAATCAGCAGGGGGTAGAAGTAGGGAATACGTGAATGATTTTAAAATGTAATTTTTCTTCCTTGTGGAGTTACCAGTTTCATAATGATTTATAGTTCAATGAGAGGCAAAAATAAAAATTTCCCCCCTTCCATGGCGTCTAGCACCGTACTTGTTAAAGGCATTGTGCATTAAGTTCTAGGAAAGACAGTAACAGTGTCCATCTCCTCAAACCTGTCAACCTCCTACAATGATCTGATTATCTCTCCAAACAGGAGGCAGAAACAGCCAATACTAAACCCAAGTAGGGCTCCTGCGGGCAGGGCGGCACGACTCATACAATAATTTCTCTACATCCTCATAAAATTTAAAATTCCAATATGTTAAGTCCTTACTTTTGTCTTTTCCATTTAGTTGAAGTAACACTGGTTACAGTGCTGTCTGTGATTCAGAGGCTGAGGCGCACACCTCGAGAAACTGTTACACCCTCAGATAGTCCTTCATATTCTAAACAATTAGTTGCTTATTCAACTTTCAAACTGCTATAGGAAACACTAATTACACACATACGTGAGATATAGAAAAAACAGCTAAGCTAAATAAAACAAAAACTTTTAGATTACAAGATCAACGGTGGTTACAGAAGGGAAGGAGAAGGACAGAATTGGACGCTCGTGGTAAACTCAATATGTATACACACAATGATTTCCAGTGATGAACACCTGCAACTTTTATGTTAAATGCAGTGTTACTTCAATTAAAAAAGGCATCAAATTAAAACATTAAATAAAACGCTATAGGGACATTTAAGCCTTTCCTACACCTAAAGTCTAGTGTGAATTTATCATATATTCTGTATAAACTGAGTCACAAGAATGTCTTCCTTTTATTTGTACTGAGTCTCAGGAGCAGTGAGAATGAACAAATGTGAAAAAGCAGCATAAGACAAAAATAAAGCAGGCGATACTGATTAAATAAAGCCCTGTTAAGTTAGAGTCTTTCAACATAAAATAGATTTCATATTGAAATGACACAATTTTGGAATCACCATTAACTTTATTTGTCACTCTTACAGACACTGGTCCACTTCAACATGAAAAGCAGGCAGCATCTACTTCCACTTAATACTCTACAGAAAGACGTTGTACCACAAACCACAGTAACTTACACAGGGGGAAAGTTACTGAGATAAAGATCTTATATTCATGCCCCATGATGTCCCCCCAGTATTAGTTTTTGTGTATATAATAACAGCATCGATAACTTTACAAAGTCAGTTTCTTCTTAGATCAATGTGGTATTTTTAAACCCTACACCAGACCTGGATCACCAAACTTTCAGAGTAGGTTTTACAAACAGCTCTGTTCATTCAATCAGATACAGTTCCAAATCTAAGCAACCCGTTCTCTTTCAGAGATATTTACATTAAATTAAGACACTTACAAGAGGTTCACAGAATATCACTGCCCAAATATTTGCACCTATCTTGTGTAAGGAAGGTAAGCATTCATAAGTTCTCCAGTAAATTCAGTGCATTTTTCCAACATAAATAACACAAGCTATTCTAAATGTCTTACATTTATTTCAGTGCATATTTCCAAATAGTAAATGGAATGAAATTATATTAAATGGTTATATTATAATATTCAAGCATATTATGGAATCTATTTCACATAAACCAATTCACATCAATACTCTAATTCACTCTAGAAAACATCACAGGCACACACAAAATAGAGAACAAAGTTTGCTTTTTTTATAAATTTAAAGTATACTACCAACTTTAAACTACACCAAAAGATTAATTTAACAAAATAGCAAATTCCAAACCCCTTTCCTAAGTGTGGCGAGAGGAAAGTTCAATCCATTCGAATCTTCTGATTTGTCATCCTATAAATGATGCTATCATATCCAGGATCCATGTTCCAAATGTTGTAAGAGGTAATAATCACAGCCAAGGCTAAGCCGATCATAATCCAAAGAACCAGGTTGAAGACCACTGAATACTCAAAATTATACTTATATGCAAGGTTATAAGGAGTTGTTGGAGGGCCCTACAATGAACAAAAGAAGATAAAGAGGGAAGAATTTTAAGATAGGAAATTACTCTAATTCAGTAACTATTGATTAACAATTATTTGTAAGTGGTACAACAGTCTCTAAAAGGGGATCTTCCTGGAAAAGACAAGCTCTCTGTGGGTAGAATTGTAACTCAGGCCAACCACGTGAGAAAATCTAGACACACCCACGAAGTTGAAGGTGTACAGGTGTACGTACTCTGTGGTCCAGTGACTTGACTCCCTAAAGGAGCATTCTGACTTATGTAGCGAAGGACACAGACAAGGATGTCCGTACAACGGAACACAGAGCATCAAAGAGACTCAATGACAGCTGTCTTTATCAGCCCTGGGCTCTTAAAGGTATCTATAGTATGATCCAATTTACATAATCTCTAGTACAAGTAAGACTTAACATTTTTTATGTATAAACATCTAGGGAGTCGAAGTACAGAAAAGCAAGGGACTGGTTATGCAATACTCAGGACAGCAATTACCTCTAGATGATGCAGGTAGGGGAATAAGACAAAGGGAGCTTTGGAGAACAACTTGTCTCTTCAGTTACGTAGTGTTAAAATTCTTTTTATTCTTTATGTTAATCATTATTACATATTATTTTTAATTTTTACAAAAGGCTTTATTTATTTATGCATACAAGAACTGGGGTACCTGCTAGAGGTGCGGGGGGGAGGGTGAGAGGATTCAACAGAGACAGAGTGGGGAGCAGAACAGGCAGATCAACTGAAATCCACTGCTGAGGGGAGCAGCGGGCAAGACAGGAGAGGTCTGCTGCACCGTGTGGGTCACTCCCTGGTCGGGGATAGAACTAATCGGCTGCGGACAGCTTCATAGTGCTGCGCTTTAACCACTGTGCCACCAGGGAGGGCCCCGTTATTACATGCTATATACTTATCTACGATCCACTTGAAATGTACGTCCTTCTGGCAAAGGCAGTAAAAACTTGGTTTAATCTGGCTAGGAAATTAAAAAGTAGGAAAACGGCAAGACAGAGAAGCTACTGAGAAGCCAGCTTTGAACCCACAGGCAATAAGAAGGCACCCACAAGTTTCAAGCAGGAAGTGTCAAGATCAGGTCTGTCTTTTCTTTCCTTTTTTTGTAAATGGGTTCTTTCTTCACTTATTTTAAGTGCATAATTCACTGAACTTTAGTATATTTGCAGAGTTGTAGTCATCATCACCACAACCTAATTTTAGAACATTTCATCACCCTAAAAAGAAACCTCAAGCTGAAGACCTCTGTTTCTCTGGGAGCAGGCGCGACTGTCAGCATGGAGCTGAGACAGAGACTGGATATAGAAGAGTAATTAACGTTGACGAGAGGTGATGAGTCAGAGTCTGGAGGCAGGGGCAGAATGATATTCCAAGAAATGGTTGGTACCAACCTCCCATCTCAAAATATTAGTTTCAGTCTGTCAGGTTTAACAAAATGTAAATCTTTGATTTTAGGCTACTTATGTACAAAGTGAATTCACTAGCTTATAAGTAAAGACAATCTAACAACATCTCCTGATTCTTGCCCTTACCACATATGCAGTAATATGATACTACTTTCGAATAATAGAATACTGTCTATTAAAGCAGCTGATCTATAAATTCAGCCTAATACTTCAGAGTAGATAGAATTATTCAACTGTGTAAAACTAGCTTCTCAAAATCCCAAAACACATGTACCTTTTTCAAATGGTAAACTTCTCTTGGGAGTGACTTCATGCAAAATTAGCAGGCCTAGTATGGACCCAGAGAGAATCTTAGTCCTTAAAAGGGCTCCCATTAAGTTAAATTTTGCTTTTAAAAACTTGCTTGACTCCTTCATTTCTTTAATCAGTTTAAATCGTCGTTTTATGGTCCATACCCACATTCTATTACTTGAAGTTCTTGGGGGGGGGGGTCTAATTCTGCCACCTGAGGTATTAGCTCCCATACATTCTCTGCAGGCTGGTTTCACCTGTTTTATACAAGGTTCTGCACTCACATTCATGAAACCAGCTATGGGGGTCCTCCCTCCTCAGTGGCTCGCTAGCATGGGGGGGGATGTGTCCTGCCAGAGAGGGTTTACATTTGCTTCTGGCTGGTGCCACGGGTTTTACCAGCCTGCGACTTCCTAGGATTTATGTTCCCAGGTAATGTAAAACTGAGCCCCAACCCCACACAAAAGTGGACCTGTGGTTAATAACTGCCTGGGAGAAATCCCCCCCACCCCCAACAGCCCAGTTACACAGAGCCCAAGCTGACTTTCTGTCTCCCTCTGCTGGGAGGCAAACTGTTTTCCCATGGACCCTCTCACTGAGTCCTTTCATGGCCTCAGCTTTAAGTGGTGGGGGTCACTCCAACTCCTACCCATGTTCAGAGACAGAGATGCTGTTTGCAGGTTTCTGGTAAGCGAACTGCACATGTCTCTAAGGCAGCCAACTTTCTACAATGTTCAAGTTCCTCTTCAAGGTCCTTAAGGATTGCCCTTAATAAACGCAAAAGTAGTGTTTATTGTTTATCCATCATTTCTAGATGGTCTTATAGCAGGAAAGTTCTGAGAACTGTTTAGCCTGCCCTGCTGTCTTAAGCAGTTCCCTGACCTGAACATATTCTCACAGCATGTATCATTTCAAGATAAGGCCAGTGTGGCCGAGCAGATGGGGCTACGTGCTGGTAAGAAGCTGGAGTTCTATCTGAGGATAATCAAAGCCTGAAAAGGCAAATAAATCCTCCTCCCCCCATCTTAGTTCATTTAAGAAAAGTGTTTATTGTTCCATAAATAGAGACCCTTCCACGTCAGTTCAATTTAGAATGAAATAACCTCAAACCAGTCATGTCTAGATTACCTTGAACTAGTATTACCTTTGATTGCTTTACTCCAAATCCCCTCCCAAACAGGGTGGGGGATACAAATGGGCCTAAAGGGAAGTATCTATAAATGACTGGGAATCTGATCGCTCCAAGAGGTGAAGCCAACTGTGAACAATGTTCGGAGTTTCTACACTGCTGCCCTTGTGCTTGTGCATGTGTGCACATATGCGCACAGACACATTTTACTATGACTTGTGGTCTTACCTATGACCCCCTAAATTGTAAACTCAAAGGAAGATCCAGACCAAAATTGCAAAAGATCAAATTATAAAGCGTGTCACAGCAGGTCCAGGAAAATAAGAACGCACCACATAAGGCAGCTCCGGAAAAGGACACGTGAGCAACACCAGTCTCTCACATGAACGTCAGCATCTCCTTGTAACACTGACATATGAATGATCTTACTGGCTTTGAGACAGCCTTCATCCCTAACTCAGATTCTTGCATTATCAGATTATGTTCCCAAAGAAGTGAGTATCAATGGCAAAACACACTTGTGTGAATAAGAAAGCTAAGTTTTAAGTGAAACTGGCTTCAGAGATTTACTGACTGCTCATTCATCTTGCCCTTAGGTGATAAGAGATGTAGATGATAAAGACTTGTTGTTTTTTTAAAGTTAATTTTACAATTTTAAAGCAGGATCTAAAAATGTACTCACCTCTTCTCTTGTTTCAAGGATAGTCCTTGTCTTCCTCATAAGGGTTGTGTCAAATGATTTGACAGTCACTAACTCTACCACTGCATTCCCACCATAAAGACTGTACATGTCATCTGCAAACTGAAGTTACTGACATTACTATGAATCTCAATTATATTCTAATTAAAATTGCCGTAAAGTTAATGTGCAGCTACAAGAACATATACTTATCTATATATTCATGAAAGCAACTATTTTAAATAGGAAGGTCTAAAGCTTTTCATTATATTAAAATATCCAAAAAAACAAATAAAATACCCAGAAGCGTTAATTTTCAACATATATTTAAATGTTCAAAATACAATTACTCTTAAAAGATGAATTTGCTGGCATATAAATTGGGCAAAGGGAGGTGTGAGATCTTCCGAGGTTGCCTCTGGGAAATTACAACAATCCACAAAGGTTTAGCTATGCCACTCACTGAAGAGATGCAGGCAGATAACTTCAGGAGCAGAATCTACTGAACCCGGCACTTCACTAAGTATTCTTCAGTCACATCAGTGTTTACTTGGGCAGGGTATCAGGTCTGGATGATCTAAGTTTGCAGATGGATGGTGATGCCAGATGCACAGATGTGAATGTACTTAATGCTACAGAGCTGTACACTTAAAAATGGTAATAGGGCCAATATGTCATGTAATTTTACCATGATGAAAACAGTATGCTAGTTATGCATACAGAAATGCCCCTTTGGGTGCTACCCCAAAATACACCTTTGACCTACTTCATCCCTGGCTGTTAAAACTGGCAGGTCTCCAATAAAGATAAGGCTGCCATCAGCAGTGTTTCACTAAGATTTTTTCCTTTAAGAGGCTATAAGTGAAACCATCATACCCAAGCCTCTCATAGCCCATCAACAACTTACCTTTTGTAGAGCATCAACAAGGATCTTAGAAGCATCTCTGAATTGCTCAGAGTCTTCTCCATATCGTTTCCCAATTTCATCCAAACCTGCCAACTCCAGTGAATACAAATCAGGGGAATGATCCTTGGCTAGATGCTTGTGTCGAGACAACTTATAACAACAAAAAGAAGTGAACAAAGCAAAGTCAAATACAGGCAGTGGAAGTTGTCCGCCTGACTGAACGTGCTGAACAGAACCGCACCAGGACGCACGACATACAAACAATCTAAAATGGTGGAAAACGGACCTGGTATGACCAGGAGCTCCTGATAATCCCAACACTAATATGTTTCTAGGAACAGTTATAAGACTCCCTGATTATTTAATAGAAGCTCTTTTAAAAAGTCTTAGTTTAAAAACTTCAGACACGGGCCAGCGCATGAAGGAGCAGATGGCTAGACCAGTTTGATCCTGGGAGAAAATGCGTCCCCGCAGCCCAGAGATTACCCCCCTCCTACGGCCCTCCCAAGCCACCTCAGCAGCTCCTAGCACTGTTTCCAGGCTCCCAGAACCAACCCTGCTGAAAAAGCAGAGGTGACCATGTCAGGTGCTAGCACTTTCACCAAAAAGAGAATATCCTTCAGGCAAATCTGTCCCTTTCCTAATTTGGTTGATAGCACTAGTCTAAACTGTTATTTCTTTTTGATTATAGCTATAGGAACTAAAAATCTTGATGCCTGACAAAAAATAAACAGCCAACTCAGGAACTACGACCGGGCTGCCTTTATTTCCAGGTTTGTCTCTTGGAGAATATACTTACTATCTCTCCTAAAAGCAGAAATACAAAATAACTTGAATGTAATATGAGATGAGTTCAAAATTCCCAATATCACCACTTTCTCAACTCACATGGTACCATAAATCCAGCACATATTTAAACCAAGCTTGAACTGGTTACACTATCACTCAAGGATTCTCTAGAATCCTAGAAGTATCTTCTGGAACCAAAACAAATGGGACTGAAAAATTCATTAGACTCTCACTTACCAAACTTGAAATATCATGTAGCACTTGCAATTCAGAAAGAAAGAGCAAATCAACCTGCAAAAGAAATGGCTATTACTTTAAATACATGTCAGATCTGTACTTGCCCATTATCAATATAAGGGCAATAAGTAGAGTATGTGAAGCACGTAAGTGAATTTATGAAACAACTGTCTTCGAACTGGTAGGTTCACATCAATTGAAAATGCATAGAAAACATTATTTCCTAACAGAGGGAATAGCCATTTCCTGCCATAGTGGCTATCACTCAAAAGTAGTATTTCTGATAAAGCATTCGAACTTTTAATGTGGTTTTCCCTCAGGGCATCAGAATATTCTGGTCCACTGCAATGAGGTTGTGTTTGCCTACTTCCTTTCAATACTTTCTATATCGGAGAGCAAAAGACGCTACTCCTGGTCATCCACAGTAGATAGAGAGGGGAGAGACTGCAACAAGGTGACTTGCCATGTAGGTAAGAGGGCGCATGAGCAGGTGGTAAAGCTGACAAGAGGCAAAAATAAGGGTGGCTCCTTCCACTGACCGTCAAGAAGGAGTCAGAAAAATGAAGTTACACATCAGAAGTGGCGGTGAATAATGGCTTCCATTCAACAGCCACTAAGTGGATAAATGTGACTTCTGACCTCTCTGAATTAACTGGTGGCAACCTTTGTGCTACAATGTGATACTATTTACTACAGCTCAATTCACAAAGTCAGTTAACCTGTGAACTTCGCAAGAAAATTACAGTATGAAGGAAGGAAGGAACCTAGTCCGGAGCAAATTTGTAGAAGCTTTCATTTTCAGCTTCAAGTTTCTCTACAGGCAGGAATATAAAAAGGGGAGACTAGTGATGATGTTCATTTATTAATTCAACACTTGCATTACTTACTTCATTGTTCCTACTCAGTGAATTGAGGGGAAGTGAATTGAGAACAGAATTTTCTTGAAACAGACGATTGCGGAGTTGTCGTAAAGTTACTGAAAGGTCTTCAAAAACCGAGTTTGCCTTCCCCACCATATACACTCTCTGTGTAAGAATCCAAAATTTTAGTTACAGTCCACAGATTAATTCCAATAAACAGCAGTTCCCACGAAATTAGTTTAAAATTTTCATTACTACTAAGTTTATTTTTAAAAGCATCTTAAAAACTCAGCACTTACTTCCTCACTGGGAGCCAACTGCAAAACTACCGGAGTTTCTTCAGAAAACAGAGAGTGAATGGAATTTGCAACACTGTCAAGACTAAAAGGAACTGCCTGAAATTTAAGAGTAAGATGTTAATTACTGTCAGAACAAGAAGTGGGAGGAAGAAAGATCATTCAGATGGTGTTACAAAACCCCTGAAACTTTAAAAACAAATAACCCCCAGCATTTTTGTATGGAAATTCAAAAGACCCAAATCCTATCCAAAATCAAAGAGCCCTTTTGAGGGCTGGGAAGAGTAAACAGGCCCTGGGGGCCAATGAGTTTCTGTCTCCCAACAGTACCTAAATTGGAAATAGCTGAGACAAGGGACCCACCACACCACTTCCTGCTGGCTGGTCATGTGTTTTAAGCATCAACATACAGGTTTCAATATTAAGCATGCCACAATTTATGTATATTTTACAATCAAGTATTAGCATGCATTTAAGAGGCCAGAGGAATTTGAAGAATTTAATTTATCTGAAAAGAAATAGGGTCTCATTTTTCAATTCAAAAACATCTAATTAAAGATTTACAGCTGTCTTCAGATAGACTAAACAAGGCATAAAGTGTGTCACAAGAATTCTGAAGACCTGACGGTGTGAACCTAAGGCCCTGATGTGGGGGGAAAAAAAAGAATTTTGAAGCCTTCATCTCAGGACCATGAAATATTAAATTAAAATAAACAGCTGTAAGTGAAGTCTATTTCTTCTTGAAATTTTTATTAAGTTATACATGCAATATAGTACGTAAATCTTGGGGTAATAAATAGCTCAATTTCAGATACATTCATTTGACCCAACAAGATCAAGACACAACATTCTCAGCACCCTAGAGGCCTCTCCATCTACTCCCTCCACCTCCAAGGGTAACTAAAATTTTATCTTCCCTATAAATCTGCTTTTGCTCTCCATTTTGAAAAATAAGCTATAGTAATTTTCCCTTTCAAAAACTAGGCCCTCCCTGGTGGTGCATTGGGTTAAAGCACAGCACTAAGAAGCTTTCCACAGCCACTACAGCATGAATTTGCTCCCGGCCAGGGAGCTGACCCACATGGCGCGGACCTCTCCTGTCCTGCCTGCTGCTCCCTTCAGGAGTGTATTTTGTCAATCTGCCTGTTCTGCTCCCCACTCTGACTCTGGTGAATCCTCTCACCACCCCTGCACCTCTGGCCTGTACCCCAGTTCTGCATGCATAAATAAGTACTTAAAAATATTTTATCCTCAACATCATTATATTAAAACATGCAGTATACTAATAGTGTTTTTGTTTTAGTGGAGACTTCTTTTTTATTTTATTCTTTTAATTTATTTTAACATCTAGTGGAGAATTCTTAAATGTGGCCTTTTGTTTTTAAAGTAATCCCCTTTACTTGTTAAAAGGCTCATATTTATAAGTAGCTAGTTAATGCTAATGTGGCATAGGCAGAAATAAATATTCCATAAATTACATAAATCTGATTAAATCCCACCATTAAAATTAAGTTTATCAATTTTATGATACTGTGAAGTAAAATCCATTTGTTCTCTTATCCAAGGTTCATATTAATAACTCTTCCCAAAATTCTCTTAAAATGAGTTAACGAGTAACTGAAGGGGAAGAGTTCAAAGTTGCAGAAGCATAATGCTAGCAATGCCAAGGCAGCCACAAGTGCCCTCCTTCCGCAATCATACCATCCACCTCTCACGCTTGGGGGAATCCGAGAACTTGTAACACACTCTCCAGCCTCATCTCACCCAGTGAAATGGCAGGAAGTTGAAGATTAAAGGTAACACATCCCCTAGCAATCAAAACTGCAGAAAGTACTGCATGATGAACACAAGGAAAAGGAAAAAACTACAATATATAGACCTCGCAACTCAAAGGAAAGAAGTAGGAGTCCTGATCCCGACTGGACCCCCGAGTGCCATGGGGCATCTTTCCCCACTGGAAGTGTGCATGGGCTCGCTCACCTTCAAAAAGCTCTGCCTCAAGTTGTGGGTGTGGCCCTCTGCAACCTGAGCCGCTCTCGCCGCCAGCTGCAATGTGCCGCTCTCCTACATGCTGCACAGAGCACCCTGACGCTGGCTCACCTGCTGCAGCAGTAGTGGTGGCCACTGCTCTGTTATGGACCAGAAGAAGGCAGAGGGTACCCTGTCTTGGACAGGCACTCTTTGCTGTGCTAGCCAGCATGAATGCCAAATACATGAAGAAGGTGCTTCTGGGGTGGACAGCAGCATGTGGTGCCTGGCCTTTCAACCTTGTCAGTATCTATGTCCTCTTCCTGCCCCGCTCCTGCTGCTGAGGGGGCTCAGGCCCTCTGCAACTTTACCCTGTTGGAAGCGCCCGATTCTCAGGTATGATGACTCTAGGTGGCTGTTTGGCTTTGCCACTGGCTGTGTGCCAGGACTGCAGAACAAGTTCACCAGCCTCCTGACCCACGTGTCTGGCAAGGCCAAGGCCCATACCCAGAGTGTACTGGCTGCTCTTACAAGGTGAACAAGAGATTCCTCTGCTCCTACACTTGGGTCAGGGGCTGGGACATGAGAGTTCAGTAAGAATCCAGCCCCAAAGAGAAGAGCAGCCAGCGACCCCGGGACAGGCCAGAGGCTGTGCTGTATTTGAAAGTTGCCAAACCTGACTCCACCACCTTTACTATTTCTGGGTTTTTGTCCTCCTACAGGAACAGGGGTCCCCATGGAACCAGTCAGTTATGTTCTCTGGAAGAACACTGGCTCTTAGGGAGTAGGAGGGGAGCAGCACCCCTTCTGCCTACTTCCCAGGGGCTCCTACCTCCACATGACCTTTGGGGTTGCGGATGGGCCACAAGGAACAATTCTGGCAAGGCTGTTACAGGGCAAACCCCACCGGAAAGGGGTGGCCTGACTGTGGGTCCTCACCTGTGTGCTTAAAAGGGACTTATAATGAGCCTCAACTGGAGGCACACACAAAAGGGGAATATAAAGAAATGAAGGGGAATAAAGGGTAATAAAGGTGAAATAAAGAAATGAGTAACTAGGGAGACAGAGAGAGAAATTGGTTAATGCAAACTACTAGCTTTATTGAGCTGGAACCCCAATAAGCATGCTGAAAGCCAGCAAAAAAGCAAGGGTCCCCAAGACCCACATGTCTGGTTATATACCCAGCCTGGCTGCTTCACTGCACCCTCAGTTCCCAGCAGTCCTCCCTTCCGTGGTGATGGCAGTATGGGATTTGTAATTCTTCATGTCCTGGATCTCTGCTCTGGGGTGGGGGTGAGGTCCATAAAACCTGTTTGTGGAGTTTGGTCAGGACATGTTTTCCCCCAACAAGGCCATTAAGCCTTCAAGTCTACTCAGGACAAACAGTCAAGTGATCCCACCCTGGGCCACGGAAGGATTTGGGAAACCTATTATCTCTGGGTGCTGGCGTAGGCTTAGTACTTTTGACAGCTCCCCCCACCCACCACACACACAATGTCTTCCTCTGGAGGAAAGTGGGCTGGGCTGAAGAAATGGACCAGTGTTCCATGTCCTTCTACAGAGTCCCACAGGCCTCGTGAAGGGAACAAAGGATCCAGCCTAGCCCTGTCCTGGCCCTGACAGCCCCAGGGGCTGCTGGGAAGTGGCCTGAGAATGGGGTATACCATGGAAAAGCAACACTTCCCCACTGTATGCACCCCTTTTCCAGTTTTTGAAAATAGGGGAACTATATACATCTTTTACAGCTTAAAGCAGGGACATTAAGCTCTCCCCGCTGCACTGACACAATTTTATCTGCCTCGCTCCTCTGCCCCTGAGGCAGAGCTACCTGGTCCAGGTAACAGCATTCTGGAAGTGAAGCCAGGTGCCACTTCTCTCTTTACCCTAGTCAGCCTCCCTGAAAGCATCACCCCCAGGCAGGGCTGATGGAGCAAGAGTTCCGAGCTCAGAGCCTCCCACCTCAGCTGTGCTGGGCCCCGCAGGTCCCTGCAGGGCAGGTGTCCAGACTGGAGCCTCTTTCCTAGGAAGATGATAAGCAAACAATGCCAACCCTCCAGGAGGCTCCACCCTGCTGGCCCCAGGTGACTTTCACAATCCCTGTCTCAACCACCACTGGGAGATAATTCCTGAGGTTTTAGTCCTTACAGTAAAAAGGTTGGGGAGGGTGAATCACTTTCTTCTTCAGTCCCCCCATAATCCCAGAGATTTCTAATGACGCTGATAAGACCTGATGCTCTGAATTGTGTAATTTAATTAAAAACTGGAGTAAGACAAAAAAGGGGAAAAATTCAGCTGATTAAAATCAAGTTAACTGTCTTTTTCCATCATATCATAAGTATATGCATGGTTGTCCTGCAAAACAAGGAAGTTTCTGAAGCTGATGACTTAAAATTCTAATAAAAACGGCTAAGCTAATCAAATAGAAGTTTTGTTATATGGAATTTGAAGACATTCTCTTCTTTTCTATTTTGTGGTTTTTGCCCTGAGCCTTAGATCATTCACCACCTACTGCCAGGAAAAGTATTAGAACTGGTCAGTCCTGGTCTAGCAACAATATCAGCTCTTTTCACAGCTTCTGCTCATATAAAATGAGATAAATCTGTTTAGGATTGCAAACTAACACCTTAATGGCATTTTGAAATTTTATATATTTACTTTAAAGGGACCTTCCAAAATGATATTCACAGAAACCACATGACAACTTTGAAGACTAAAGAAGCTTTTTTTTTAAAAGACTATTTATGCTTACAGAACTGGGGTACAGACCAGAGGTGTGGTGGGTGAGAGGATTCACCAGAGACAGAGTGGGGAGCAGAACAGGCTGACTGAGAAGTACACTGCTGAGGGGGGCGGCAGGCAGGTCAGGAGAGGTCTGTCACGCCATGTGTGCCATGTAGGTCAGCTCTGGGGCTAGAGATGGAACTTGTGGGGCAGTGGCTTCCGAGAGCTTCTTAATACTGTGCTTTAACCCTTTATGTCACCAGGGAGAGCCCAAGAAGTTTTTTTAATCCTTGGATTTTTTACTGTTCCTTCCTTCCACTGACTCTGACTTTTTTTTTTTTTTGGTTTCTTTAGCTCATTATTTTCTAATCTTTTAAATTGTTTAAAATATGCATTTGAAGTTATAAATTTCCCACTCTGTACCACTTTAGCTGCAACCTAGTTTTTTTCATACAATCCACTAATACACAATTCCAGATAATTTCATAACTTGCACAATGATTTTCTCCTCAACCATGAAGTATTTAGGGGTGCATCTAATGTCAACATTCTGTCTTAAAAAAAATTTCACCCTTCCCTCATTTCCCAATTCTAAGGTACCTATTTCCAAATCCTGTTTCCTTTTCTTTTTCCCATCATCTCTAAAATATGTATTACTACATCTGGATTTTTCAGTATGAGGCAGTATCTATTTACTGCCCATTAGAGAAAACAAGGATTTAGCTCTCTACAGCACCAGCCACAGCCCCTGTCCACACATAGCCTGTTTCCATCTCTCTACTCTCCCAAAAGTTACATCATGATTTCATCGGGTCAGCACCACCTATTTACTACAACTATATAAACACTATTTTCTGCTTAGCTTATGCTACACAATTAATGTTTTTTCCATTCCTGTTTTTCTGGTTCCTCATGGCAACAGTGAAAAACGCGCTATTATTCTGCTCTCTTGGTAATGTTTAAGATCTTCAGCGTCGTTCATGGTTCTTCAATTTTATTACGTGTAGGTGTTCATTTGCCTTTAGCCTACGGGTGCTTGGTGTGTTTTAAACCTGGGGTGGGATCATGTAGTTTTTGCTTGTTTCTACATTTTTAACTTATTTTGTTATATCACGTTTAACAGCATTATGGTCAGAGATGGTGGTTTATATGATACGGGTTCTTTATTGTTTGTTGAGATTTGCCTTGTGACCTAGTTCGTAAGCATTTTTTTTGTAAGCATGTCATGTGTGCTTAGAACAATCTATACTAAACCACAAGCAAGTCTAGGGGAAAAAAATCCCATGTGTATGATGCTTCAATCTTATAAGACTGCAATCTTATATTACAGTCAAATTTGAAATTGAAAAATTAAAAATTCCTCACACAGGACACACCCTGGTGGCATCAGGGGTTGAAGCACAGCACTATGAAGCTATCACAGCCACTGCAGTACAAGTTTCATCCCCGGCCAGGGAAATGACCCACATGGCGCAACAGACCTCTCTTGTCTCACCCACTGCTCCCCTCAGCAGTGTATCTCAGTAGGTCATCTTGTTCTGCTCCACACTCTGTCTCTGGTGAAGCCTCTCACCCCCCACACCCATGGCCTGTACCCCAGTTCTTACATGCATACATAGATACATCTTTCAAAAAAGAAGCACTAAACACTTCTAAATAACTCAAGGATTGAGGAGATTAGTACAAATCATGCAATGTTTACCAATAAAAGGACCACATATCAAAAATGTCTTTCAAAGGCCCAATAGTTTCTATGCCTTCCTTTATTCTACAAATTGAATGCATGTATTTTCAAACTTCTTTGAGACTGGTCTATTATCTGTAGTTCTAGGGGGGAGGAATCCCATTTGCTGCACCTGCTGGCTTTCTCATGGTCTTTTTTTCCTTTCATGTGTTTTATAAATTTGACTCATCTTCAACCTTTTACCAAAGGAGCCCTCAGAGGCGGAGGTGTCCCCTGTGGGTGGGTGGTGTGAGTCTGGAGCACACTGCTCTGCGCGAACAGTCTATCACTCCAACTTCTCTTAGGGGATTGATTCTTTGGGTCCTTCAGACAGGCCAGCTCCCCGTGGTAGCCCCAGGCAGCTGGGGTTTTACTAGTCCTCCTTTCAGGAGCATGACAGTATTTTACAGTGCCTGGCTTACCGCAGGGTACAATCTTAGCTTCGGCTCCTGCGCACCACTGTGGCTTTTGTTTCCTATTCACATTTGGCACCTGTGTGGCTGCCTTCTTTGAAGTTTCGCAGTATACACAAGAATGCGTTGGTGACTTCCACATGCTTGCAGTGAAAGGCAGGCCTCTCACAACAGCTCAATCAGTTCTACTGCCTGAATAAGTGAGCCAGCAAAATAGACTCCAGTTTCCTCTTTACATAAAAATGAGGTAAAATTCTGAAGGAAAGGTGACACGATAATGCTCAAGAAAATGTCAGCAGGATACACCCTTAATTGGCTTTTCCTTTTTGAGCCTTTGACTATTTTGAGTGGGGTACTTTCTCTACCTGTTAGAAAGTAATCTCATTCAGAAAATAGCCAAGTCTCAATAAACATACAACCCTCATGTAATTTAAAAAACAAGAAAATGTGTTTCACTTATCAGTGCATTAAGTAAAGACAAAAAGGTATGCTCAGTACACAATTCATCATGATAGCGACAATTAAAAATGCATCTCTTTAATTTTTTTTATTAAATACTCACATTTTCCAAAGGGTACGAAATGACGCTGCCCTGGGGTAGAGCAAGTTTGTCCACCCCCTTCACCATCACCAGAACTGTAGCCCGAGGACGATGAAACAGATTCCCCACGGCAAGTCCTGGCCAAGAAAGGTCCTAAACATTGAAAAGAATGAAAGCAGCTTAAATATGAACTCAGGAAATCATCCCCTCATGACATCTGGGAAGTGGAGTGAAGGGATTCTGGATTGACAGTGGTAATGAAAATTCCCAGGAAAAGCAAGTATTTTCTTGAAGGCAGGAGTTGCAATCTCCTAATCAACGATACTGACTTCTACCTTCTTCATTTTCTAAAACAGTAAAATCTACTAGTAAGTCATCTCAAACTTTTTGTGGGGGAAAAAAAACTGGCAAGAAAATAAAACACGGGCACTTTTCAAATTCCGGATTATAAAACTATTCTCATAAAACCATGGCCATTTTCGTCCACCACATCATTTTTTGCCCTTACTATAGCATCACTTTTATCTTTAAAGTGATGTAGCAAGACTGTTGATTTAAACATTCTCTTCTGATGCTTCAAAAATAAAACAAAATTCCTGCTAGAATTGATTCACCTTAGTTTACTAGTAACTGTTTCTAAGTTATTTGACAGCCATTTGTAGTCAAATTTAAGTTCGTAAATTTCATTCGTAAATAAATGGTCATGTTTAAGTGCGGAGACCAGGGACTCCTCTCCCCAAACGCCCCTCACTCCCCAGGCCCAGCAGGGAAGCAGTTCCCAAACTGCTCTGGTTGCAGGGGCACTCAGGACCTAGGAGGGAAGTACCTTTGAGTGACAGATGGTATCTAGAGACCACATCAAAAGCACCAAATGTATACAGTGGGAGGAGATGATAAACACAAACTTGCACTTCCTTTCTTCTGACCCTGAGCTTCAGGTCACACATGCTGAATGGATGTAGGCCCCTTTGCTAAAATCAGGCAAGCAGCCAATTACAACAGGTTAGTCTTAATTCTAGGAAACTAAGGTCCTAGGCTGTCCCAGTTACTGGCCACAGTATGGTCCTAAACTCAGGCAAGATATACATACATTTTGTCAGTCATAACAAATTGCAACAGACTGAATGTTTGTGTCTCCCCAAATGCATCTGCTGAACCCCTAGCCCCCAATGCAATGGTATTTAGCAGTGGGGCCTTTGGGAGGGGATAAGGTCATGAGGGTAGAGGCTTCAATGAACAGGGTTGGAGCCCTCACAAAAGGGACCAGGCGAGCTCTCTCCCCGCCATGTGAGAATACAGGAAGTCAGCACTCTGCAGCCTAGAAGAGGGTGCTCAACAGAGCCTGACCATGCTGGTTCTCAGATCTTGGACTTCCGAGACCCCAGAACTATGATGAACTTCTGTTGCTATTATAAGCCACTTGGTCTATGGTACTTTGTCACAACAGCTTCGCTTCAAGTGATTAAAATTCAAATCTTTATTATATGTACTGAGAAAAAATTTTATATCCCAAGTAATGGGACAGATGCATTTTCTCCTATATTAGAGCTTCACTACTATGAATAAACTATTACAAAATTAGTGCTCTAGAATGATTTGTTTCATAAGCTGAGCTGGAAAGACTTATCTAAAATTTTCCTAACTACAAATAAGTTTTACTTTTGCAAGCTGTACTAAATGTGCTTTGCTTTCTTGGATTAACAGAAATTTTAAAAACTCAGACACAGATCCAAATTAAAACCAAAATACCAAAATACACATACTTCTTTCACAGAGAAGCCCATAGACAATGCAGCTACATCTGGGATTCGTTCTCCAGGTATTGGCCAATTTCCATCTCGGAAAACAACAGACCCGGGTGATCTTAATATACTAAACTCGTTTCCCAAAACACCTGAGAAGAAAACATAGCAAATGAGTGATCAGCGTCATAAATCTTGTGCATTACACTGAAAACAGAAAGCATGTTTCTCCCTTCTTCACTGACTTAGCATACTAACTTATGATTGGACAAAATGCCAAATCCTAAAAATTTAAGTTAATAAATTCTGCTGTAACAAAGGTCTAAGCATGAAATAGGAATCTCTTAATGATCTAAAAGCCTTCCTACAGGCATCCTTAACAGGGGCATGTGGCAAATTTGGCAAGGATTAGAAATCAACTGCATTTTCCCTGGAATTTACAACACAAAGACGTTGGCACAAACTAAATGGAAGAAAAGGAACTTGAGCGCTTGCTTCCACAACATATACACTAAAGTGGGAACGAGACGTAATAGATTAGCATGGTCCCTGCACAAGGGTGACATGCACATTTATGAAATGTTCCTTGTTTTTTCCTGTCCAAGTCCTATGTTGGCCATGACCTATGAAGTCGATCAGTGGGAAGGTGCATAATGACAACTGAAATATTTTAGAGCACAAATAAACTCATTATACTATGGTCTAAAAAAAGGAAACTTGAAATCTGTAAACTATTTCTGCCATCACCCTTGGGAGGTTAGTATGTCTTGGGATAGATCACATCATTCCTTATGTCCCACAGGCAAACCTAGTGATGTCGGGACAGTCAAATAGGGGGGTGGGTGGGAGGGAGGTGCACTTGTTACCAGTCCAAATACAGAACACTTTGTGCTTTAGAAACAATGCCCAGTAAATAGTGCTTTCAATGCATGTATCAGGAGAGTGAGGAAAGGTGTTCTGACACTCTTTTAAGTGTTCTAGACACAATTTCTAGCCCATGGGGGTGATTTCCCACACCAATGAGCAATTCTTCAAACACGAGCAGGGGTTGGAGAAGTCGACTCACTTCTGACACTACCCAGAGAGAGCATAGATTCCACAGGGTAAGGGTGCACTCAGGTCTAGGAGACTGCTCCCACCCTCCTCTGCTCAGTTCTTTTTTTTTTTTAAGATTGTATTTATTTATGCATACAGCAATGGGGTACAGGCCAGAGGTGTAGGGGTGGTATGAAGATTCGCCAGAAATAGAGTAGGGAGCAGAACAGGCAGATCCATGAATTACACTGCTGAGGAGAGCAGCAGGAGAGATGAAAGGTCTGCTGCACCATGTGGGTCACCCCCAGGGCAGGGATTGAACTCGCATTGGTGGCCACAGATTGGCTTAGTTCCACAGTGCAGCGCTCCAATCCGCTGTGCCACCAGGGAAGGCTCCCTCTGCTCAGTTCTAGGCGACTGCCCCCACCCTCCTCTGACTCCAGCAAGTCCAGGCTATAACCTGTGCTTCTTATGACGGGGTACAGACTGACAGTTTCCATGGATTGCCTCCTTCCCTGGGCTTAATTAATTTGCTAGAGCAGTACCCAGACCTCAGAAAATGTTTAACTTACTAGGGCACTGGTTTATCACTGGTTTATCTGTTAATAAAAGGATAAACTCAGGAGAGGCAGATGGAAAAGACCCACAGGTATGGCACGGGGAAGGGAGAGGCACGTCCTGCCTTCTCGAGGCCCGCCATTCTCCTGCACTGCCACCTGTTCTCCGCCTGGAAGTGCTCCAGAGGCCCTGCTTCTGTTTTTAAAGGGGCTTCTTTCATTAGGCATGACTGACAAACAAGGCACAGGCCAGTGGTGATGATGCAACCTCCAGCCACTCTCCTCTTCTCCCCAGAAACCTAGGGATGAGACTTCAAAATTCCAAACCTCTATTCACAGCAGGTTCCTCAACAGCCAGCCCCCAACCGTAGGTATAGGCCAAAGCCACTCACTAGCTTAACCCAGCTGTGGTGGAAAGGGGCTTGTGACAACAAGAGACCCACTTCACTTATGGCTCTGAAGTCGCTTCAGAAACTGAGAACAAAAGAAGAGCAAATGTCGGAAAAGATGCCACCAGTGCTCTAGTTGTTCAGGACATCCCATGGGTCTGGGAGCCGTAAGCCAGGAACTGTGGGTGAAGATTAAATATATAAGAAATGTATTTATTTGGTGGTCTGAAAGCAAATACATGTATTTCTTATAAACCACAGTATCACAACAGGAACAGAGACAACTAGTCTAGGGAGACAGGGCCTGGAATTACAAGGCAAAAGGTGAGAATAAAGGGATCATTTCACGGGCCATCCAGGGCTAAGGATGAGGAATTCGGCCTCTCTCTCCATCGGAAGTTTACCCAACAGTGCCTAGCTTACACTAGGCCAATGGAGACTCTTGGATTGCTATCAAAGATCAGCTCCAAGTCCAAATCAAATCTACACCATGCCTAGTATGGGAAAATCAGACTTTAATAAATCATCACTGCTATTCTTTTGACCTAAGTAAACTACCATTAACAGGACAAGGGACTAAAGCTAGCAGCAACACTAAATGTTTTGGGGTTACAGTACTGACAATAAATACAAGGCCTCAGAATGGTGCTGATACAACATGAAGAGTTAAGAGTTTCAACTCAGTGCAACTGCCAGGGCAGGAATTTCCAAACTGTTCTAGCTGAAAGTAGGGGAAAAAAAAAAAAAGAGCAGAATGGGATGGTCCTCCGAAACTGGTAAGACATTTCGGTTCACTAAAGTAGCAGTTACTGCAAGCTCTAAGGAAAACGGGGCAGCAAGAGACCTGTACTTTCCAAACAGCACACACATTAACACACACACACACACACATGTTTAGATCTGAAGACAGGCCTGTATGCAGACAAGGGCCAACTCACTCTGTCCCAGTAAAGATACATGAAATTACTTTACATTAATTTTGTAGTTAAAAGTCACTGCTGTGCTTGCACAAGTTCTTAGAGATCCTGCACAAGGGGCTTAGAGATTGAGAAAACCTAGAGTTATGTAATCCTACCCGGAGAAAGGTTATCTCATCCCAGCTGCTGCTTAACACGGGTATCATCTGTCCTCTACCTGACTATGACAGTGAGGAGGGAAACACCCCTAAGTTACAAGGAAGACATTTGATGGCGATCACCTCCGCTGTGCCAACATAGCCCTTTCAAAAGTTTTTCCTTGTACTGAACTGAAAGCAGCTTCCCAGCTTCTTTCAACTTCCTATTTTATGACTCCAAACTCATTCTCACCAGATAACCTCATCTCTAGCTTAGAGGAAACAGAAAATTCCTCCAAGTACCTGCTTGTCCTCTACTACAAATTTATCAGCACAAGTATCTGCCCTTATCTCTTCTCCCTCCACAGGCAGGCCTTCTTAGAAACCATTCATTCTTCTGTTACTCAAAGTTCACTAAGCCACTATTCTGAAAAGACATGTGAGGCTACGTGGCTATAGGTCTCTGTAAAATATAAGCTCCACAAGGGCAGAGATTTGTCTATATTGCTCACAAAGCAGCCCCAGTGCTAAAACATGCAGGTGCTCAATAAAAACTAATTGAGTGAAGGAAATCACATCATGCACTAACAATTTCCCCCTCTTATCTGGCTCTTCTACACTCAGCATAAAATACACTCAGTGTTCCCATTCTAAAATTAAAACCACAAAAACCTCCCTTAGTCCTATTGTAATGAGGTGGATTCCAGGAAAAGGGGAGGGGGGTTCTAGGTTCCCTGCCCCACCCAGAGGAGTGTGGACCTGAGCAGGGAGGAGGGGAATCTGGAGAGAAGTCTGAAGAGGATGGAAGCAGGATGGAGGGCAGAAGGTGACCTGAGGGAGGCACGTGGAGCAGAGAGAGAGGTGAGGAAGCTGCACTTGCTTCTTGGCCCTGGACTGAGTGAAACAGATGTGGGTGAGACCTGTGGGACGTTGACTATGGCAGCATTTTCTTGATTTTGATTGTGCTTTTCCTCCCAGACTTCTCTGGCCATTGCTGACCCTTTTCTATGGGTCCCGGCCAGAAGGTGCTTTAGACTTATAACACTACCAGCCTCCACCTGCCTCTGCTTCCTTTCAAAGGAAGAATCCTGAAAGGGTGCTTCTCTGCTTCTTTATTTCATGTATACTCCTAACCCACAGCTTCTGATCCACCAGCCACAGAAACAATTCACTAAATTCACAGGACATTTTTCAGTCTCTACTTAATCTTCCAAAGCATCTGACACTGGCAACAACCTCCCTGTATTGCCTTTGGAAGTCCAGGCCCCTGGTTTTCCTTCCAATCCTTTTGGCTGCTTCTTGGTTTCTTTCCCTTCCCATCCTTTCAAGTAACAAAGTCCAAACTTTAGACTTCAACCCTCTCAGTACAAAATTTTAAAAGTAGTTCTAGCCTGTATATGTCTATACTTAGAGACACTTGTAAGATTACACTTCACAATGCATTACAAAGCATACAAAAATAGAGATTTTTTAAGAGTGAGGTTTTTTGTTTGTTGTCTTTTTTTTTTTTTAGTATTTGTCCCAACTTAAGCATAAGTCATCATCAGACAAATCCAAATCGAGGGACATGCTGCAATTTTTCTGGCCATCACTGCCTTTAAAATGAAATTTTAAAAGGATGTAAATTAAGTTCTAGTACATTATGTCATTCAACAGATCACTCAGCATACTCCACTCAGGGGATCTAAAGGCTCCATTCTTGACCCTCACTGCTTTTCAATTCTACATCTCTCCACAGCTGTGGCTGCAAACACACCAAAAAAAGTTATTTCCAGCACACCCTGCATTCTGTGGGGCAGCTCCTCCTCCTCCATGGCTCCTTCAAACTTATCTCCTATACTCTGCTTCCACTCACCAAAGTATGTGATATTCTGCATTCAAACCTCTGTGCTTCTATACATGCTTTTCTGTCTAAATGCCTTTCCTTTCCACTTCAACCTTGTGAGGCACCTACTTGAGGGAAATTCCCTCAGCACTCCCAGTCTGGGTTACAGAGTAAGCATCTTTCCCTTCGGAAACTCCCACCTTACTGTACTGTGATCTATGATTGGTACATGAAATCAATGTGAAAAAGTAAACAGGTCCGACTTTTATCCTCTGTGGCCTCAGTGGCCAAATCAAATACCTCTCCCACATGACATCCTTTTAAATTCCACGTTGTCTGTGCTTGGCTTTTCCTCTCCAGGTGAAACACCTGAATTTCTCCAACTACGCCTCCTGACACGGTATTCATAACCGCACTTTCCATCCTCCAGTCTCCCTCTGGATTGGCAACACTATTTTAAAAAAGCATTATTTTTTCCAGGTAGAGAAGTCAGGGCTCTGAAAGTTGTTTTCCATTAAATCACATTTAGTCAGTGTGGAAAACAGTACTTTAACCTCATCTGACAGGTTCGAGCAATGCAAAAACTGACAGGATCAGACTCTTGGTCTGTATAAACTAGATAATTCTAGTTAAGAAAGCATGCTCAAACCATATATGGGGCCCTCCCTGGTGGCGCAACGGGTTAAAGGCTGCCAGCCCTGCAGAGTTGATTCACAGGGTGTGGCAGACCTCTCCTGACCCACCCGCTGCTCCCCTCAGCAAGGTCATCTCTGTTCTGCTCCCTACTCTGTCTCTGGTGAATCCTCTCACCTCCCCTCCACCTCTGGGCTGCACCCCAGTTCTGTATACATAAATAAAACAATCTTAAAAAAACATAGAGAAGCAATTTGCCTCAGCCCCAAAACAAACAAAAAACCCTAAGCCTTTTGAATCAAAATAATGTTAATTGTAACCTGGAATTTGTAGCCTGGAATTTCAATAACTGTCCAGCTAAACCACAATGTCAAAAGAAAGATAGTTCTAAAATTCAAAAACTGTATTTCAATAATGAATATTAAACTCCCCACCCAGCAAAGTAACTTACTAGATAGGTCAATGACCTTTCCAGAAGCAGACACAAAAGGAACATGACAACCCAAAAACGTGTGGGGTATGAAAATAAATGGAACTGTTATCCACACACAACCCTGGCTATCTGCAGGAAAGGAAAAGACCTGCAGATTTCCAGAATATCATTGGTGTTTACCCCACCGCAGCATTATACCACCATTCCAAAGGCAGGCCTCCCAGAGCACCTCACACTGCAGGGGCATCCCTCTAATTTTAACCTATAGTTTAAACTGACACACCCGACATGCCTCCAAATTGTTCTCAACCTGGTCTCTTGGTTGCCACTGCCTGGAACCCCTGTCCCAGCCCTCATCAGCCCCCACATCCTCACACAGTAATAGCATGTCCATTATCCGTGCCACATCACATATACTGGAAAAGTACAGTGCTCCGGAACCAGCTGCTCTGGGTTTAATGCCAGCTCTGCCACTTACTACCTATGAGGTATTGGGTCATTTATTTAGTCTCGATCACTGTAAAATGAAGATGATATCCTCTTCAAAGGATTGCTGTAAAATTAAACGAATCGCATGAAACGCAGGAAAAGGTGAAATATTAGCTGACTTACAGTGCCCTCGCTGAATGCTAGGGAACCCAGGTTCCACTCCCAAAGCTACCACTTATTCGACATGTGACCCTAAGAACATGACTCACGTCTCGGTTTCCAAATTCTTCAAATTGGGAACTAGGACAAACTATCGAGTGGGGGCTGTGAATTAGCCTCTAGAAATAATACAAAAACAATTACTCCATCTCCAACTTTTGTATCTTGAAACATAAATGAGTAAGGAAAAAGATATTTCACACATTACTGATGACAACCGCTAGAAATGAGGACACTGGAAAATGCAAAAAATTGCAGCAGCTAAGTCTGCCTTTCCCCGTTTGCAGAGGGTTGTGGGTCCACAGCTATTTGAGAAATGCACCCCCATTTTCTGAAGCGCCTCTCGAGCCGGAAGAGGCAGAGCCGACCCGAGGCAGGTGGGATGACCGGCGGACGCACCTTCTTCGTAGAAGCAAAGGGTGGAGACCGACTCAGGTCCCCCCACGCAACCAGCCTGGCCCGGCCACAGGGGGCCGCGCCGCCACCCCGCGGGTCGGGGGGCTGGAGAGGGAGAATACTAGGGCAAGGCCGCCGCTGGCTGTCCGCACTGCGGCACGCGCCCCGCAGCCGCCCACCCGCGGCTGCCTCAGACCCCCGGGACTCAGGGTTCCCGGAGAGCGCCCCCCCGCCCCCGGGTCCTCACCCGCCACCAACAAGGACAGGAGCACAACAGGTACAGTCATGGTTCCACGGCGGCCGCGCAGGATAACCCGGAACAAGGCGGCGGGACACGAGCGACCACCGCAGCGCCAGGGGGTGACGCGCTCTAGCTCGTCCCGACTCCCCAGACCCGCCCCGTCGTCGCCTCCGCTTTCTCCACCAATCGCCAGTCACGCAGTGGCTTGCGGGAGAGACGTAGTCTGGGCACCGTCAGTCTGATGGGCGGAGCCTAATGTGATGGATGGCAGCACCTGCCAGTAGTAGGCAGCAATGAGACCTGGGCAGTCCCGCCCCCCGGCCCGTGACTACCGGTCACGAGATGGGGGAGGGGAGGAGGAACGGGGGTGGGGCGAGGAGGACGAGGCCGGGCACGGGTGTCCAGGGATAGAGCCCGGCGGGTTGGGGCTGCCACCCGAATGGGAACCCTTTGACCAATCTCGCGTGACAGTCCCCCAACTGGGTTGTCTGTCTTTCCTGGTCGCGTGGCTCCGCCGAGTTGCCCGTGCAGCTGTGAAAGCGGCGAGGTTGGTTTCGTGGTGACGCTGGTTTCGCGGTGACAATTACACAGATGCTAAGCACCTGCTGGGAGGAAGTCGGGTGCCTGGAGGAATTGATCCCTGCCCTCCAAGCAGGGTGCCACATAAAATAAGAGGTGTCCGGTTAGGTCTGAATTTCAAGTACATACAGAATAATTTTTGGTCTAAGTGTGGAGTAATATTTCCTGGAACACACTTATACTAAGAAAAGTATCCTTTATCTGAAATTCAAATATAAGAGGGCTTCCTGTATTTTGGTTTACTAAATCTGGCAACCGGCCTCCTAAAACTTGTCAGTCTGCTGGCAGTGACTGGACAAGAACAATCATAAGTTCCTTTATTCGCTGAATTCTAAGTGAGGAATAGATAGACTAATTAGACCAAGATCCTCCCTTCCCACAACTCGTAGTTTTTGCCTATTATTTGAAGCAAGAAGTGACACGGTGTAGCGTCTGTGGTCTGAAAATGATACTGCAACTGATGACCTTGACAGATGGGTGTGATTTCAATATGTAGGGGGAGATTCCTCTAAGGAACAAGAACGTTAATAGGTGTGGCAGGTAGAAAGCATCGTCAGAGTAAGTACTCACTGTTTAACCAAAGCAGAGGTTTATAGAGGAGGCACATAGAACTAAAATTTTCAGTCAGGACCATGTTTATTGGGGATATTGAATTTTCCCTAATGAACTACACTTGTCCTGGGTCCTTATTTCCAAGATGACCAGCAAAAGGAGGAACAATAACTGGAAAAAAAAAAAGAGCAGTTCCACCTGCAGCCAAGGACAAGTTCATAAAGAAGTTTAGCATTGGAAGCCTTAGGGATATTTTCAAGGCAAGTGTCTTCATGCCTATGCACTTCCCAGCTTAAGACAAAAATTATATGACTGCATGAACTGTGCTATTCACAGCAAGCTAGTCAGACAGTTCTCCTGAAGCCTAGAAGGGCCAAAGACCCCCACCCAGATTTAGACCTGTGGTTGCTGCCCTAGCACTGCTGAAAAACTGTTCTCTGGGAAGGAGTAAAATGGCAATTAAACTTAAAGGGGGAAAACAAAGAACTACCCTTCATTTGGTAGGAAATGGGGAGCCATGGAAGGTGCTGGAGCATTGCTCCATGCACATTTGTAAAATTTGTTGGAGGGAAAAAATATCATCTTCCCTCAGTTCGCAATCCACATTTTCTTCTTGAGATTAAACGTGGGAGAAAAAGCAGTGACCCCAGGAGTTTCTGTGGCAAACCTATTCCAGGAAAAACACATCACTAGATTGGAAACTGGAATCAGAACACTTCCCAGATACTCAAGTTCTATCTTTCTAGAACACACTGTGCTTACAAAAACCACTCTCATTTTAGAGGCTGGAATCTGCATTTCCTCACTCAACTTCAGGAAGCTTTTGACTCTCAAAGTTGCATTCTTCCAGAGAATTTGCAGAAATGTGGCTTTAAAGAAATCTGAAGTAGGAAGGAATACTTTTCTATTAGGAATGTGAAATTATTAGGTTACCAAACCATGTCTAAAGCTTAAGCATGATGGAGTCATTTTCCTTCCCATCAACTAAAACTTTATTCTTTGTCCATCTTACTGCATGTCCTAGAATAGGTTCTAAACCACAGGCCAGGAAAGAAGTTGTTTAAATAAATCTTATTTAAGGACATGATCAACTAAAAGTAGAGCAGGGCTCCTACAATTTCATGCAGCCTAATGAAACAGGAAAGGGAGTCAATTCTTCCCTTCTTGAGAGAGACCTAGGACATTCTTAGTTCTTTTATTTTGAAGACCAAAAATATTATAAATGGACTCAAATATAAAATAAATCCCTCCTCCCGCTAAGAAAACCTCAAAATCTTACAATCTTTCATACTCTGTTTATGTCTTGAGAAATAACATCCTTTTCTAAGCTAAGGGTGAGTAGCTTATCCTTTAAATCTAAGGCCCCCTTTCATCTGAGGTCTCAAATGGGGCATTGCTCCCTCTTATAGCCTTGGAATTCAGCAAAATAAACACTGTAGGAAATCTTCTCCATGTTTCAGAGATTGAGAGATTGAAACCTGGGGAAGGGCAAATGTACTCAAGGTCACATTCTGAATCGTCAGCAGTTCTGCTTTATGAAAGCAGCCCTTCTGATTCAATCTTTAGCGCTCAGTAAACAACCGGTGATGTGTGGTTAACTTTTCCATTGAAGCATTCAGAGGTGGATATGTGTGTGGCAGGATAATATTTGAAGTAAATGACCCATATGTTAGCCTAAAGGAAGCCTCCTCCCTCACTCTGGCCTCAGCTCTCCTCTCAGGCCAAATAGCTAAAACTCGAACCATCATTGCCTTGAGGGGAGGACTCCCAGAGAAGAACCCAGAAAAAAAGATGTCAAATTCTTGGCTCTTCAATTCAAAAGTAGAAGTCCAGATATAAGATTTAAAAGAATATATAATTCTGTTGCTTCCCTAATTCTGCCTCTCCCAATCCCCTCCCCCACATTAATTCCAACTGTAAGTTCTGAGTGATGACAGAGGGTGACACGATGGCCTGTCTCTGCAAATTAGCCAGCAGAAAGCCCCGAGGCAGCCAAGACCATGCCATTTCTCCAGACCAGGCAGTCCCCACTCAATTAAAAATAAGAATTTCTTCCTTTCAAAAGAAACCATGTATACTCCCCATAATGTGGGGAGTAAGAGAGTAAGTTTACAGTGGAGAAAGCTGACAAACTACCTCAGCCAGGTGATAATGGACAGCATCAGCAGTGATAAGCTGCGTTGGTGCATGCACCCCTGATGTGATGTGAGGAGAATCACTTTTCACCTCTGTGGCCTTCCTCTTCAAGCCCATAAGTCCAGTATAATCAGGAGAAAAGCATCAGCCACATTACAGTTGAGGAACCTTCTACAAAATACCTGCCCAATGCTCCCGCAAAATTGTCAACAACATGAAAAACAAGGGAAGTCTGAGAGACCATCACAAGAGTTTGGAAGAAAAGTCTTAGAAGAGACATGGATGAGTCTAAAGAGACATGACAATAAAGTAGTGTGGTCTCCTGAATGGAATGCTGACTAAGCATAGATTCAAGTTAGTAATATTGTTGCAATCGTCATTCATTAATTATGACAATGGGGCCCTCCCTGGTGGTGCAACTGGTTAAAGTGCAGCACTATGAAGCTATCCACAGCCACTGCAGCATGAGTTCAATCCCCATCGAGGTAGGTGACCCACAGGGCTCAGCAGAGCTCTACTGACTCACCTGCTGCTCCCCTTGACAGTGTATTTCAATACAGCTGCCTGGTCTGCTCCCCGCTGTGTCTCTGGTGAATCCTCTCATCACACCTGGACCTCTGGCCTGTACCCCAGTTCTTGTATGAATAAATAAATAAATATTTAAAAAATAATTATGACCAATGTGCCATCCAAGGTAAGATGTTAATAATAAGAAAAACTAAGAACTCTGTACTGTCTTCTCGACTTTTCTGTAAATTTAAAACCATTCTAAAAATTGAAGTTAGTTTTTTAAAAAGCCTTAAAGTTAGTGAAACTTCAAGCCACAAAATGGGGGAAGATATGTTGTATCAGAATAAATCTCTCACTTTTACAAATCAAAAAGGAAAAATAAAACAACCTGATAGGAAAATGATCAAGAGACTTGAATAGAAACTTTACAAAAAATGGAAGTTCGAAAGGTCAGTAAATATGTGAAAAAAATTCAACCTCTATGGTAGTTCGGGAGATGCAATTTTGAAACCATGAGATCCCATGACATACCAGTAGGTTGACAAAAGTTAAACTGTCTGACCAGGCCAATGGTAGGCAGGATGTGAATCAACTGAAACTCTTCTCCTCATATGCTGGTAGGAGCACAAGATGGTGCAACGATCTTTGGGAACATGGCTTCAGCAATTAAAGTTGAAAACAATACCCTATGGCCCAGCGGTTCTACTCCTTGCATAAATACTGCAGGAGTATGCACTTACAGGTGCCCCAAAACACGGCATTGTACATGTAAGAGAGTCAATGTTCCAGTAGTCCAAAAATAGAAGCATTTTAAATGCTCATTAATAATAGAATGATAATGAGTTGTGCTATATTTCATACAATGGGATATTACACCACAGTGAAAATGAACAAAGAGAAATAGCATTCACTAGCTATTACTTAATATAATGCAAATATAAATAAGAGACAAAGAGCATGATTTTATTTCTAGGAATTTCGAAAATAGTCCGAAAGAAGATATCATTTAGGGATGCAGAATTAGTGGTCAAAATACAAGAAAGGCAAGGAAATAATTACCAGAAAAATCTGGACTGAGGTGGTAGAGTGGGGTGAGTCTGAAAGAAACATGCAGAAGTACCTGGGGCTACTGGTCATTTCCTAGCCTGGGCAGTGGCTGCTACACTAGTGTTCATTTCATACTTATCCCATTCTGAACGTCAATGCAGTATATTCATGCATGTGTTACATTTTACAGTAACAATATTTTTTAAATCTAGGCCGCTGTTTTGAATCTTGAGAAGGTGTAAGCTCCCTTTGACTTGGTAGGAATTATTTCAGTTTATGTTTGGAGAATCTTGTGTTTATAAAACATGTCTTCAGCGGGTGTGGAAGTT